ACGAAAACATTACACGTTCACACCTCTCAAGTCCAAACAATGTGACAATCTTGGATTGATGCAGGTTTTAAATAAAACATCATAAATATACTTTACATACTGTATTAAAATGTTTTACATATTGTACCAAAATCATCCTAGGAGCGCAAAAGGCTGGACTAGCGGTTACATAAGGCTGCACAGCAAGTCATAACATTACTTAACTTCGTATCTGCCCATTAATGGGGGCCTAATCTTATTTTATGTGCTCACAACAAAAATAAAAACAGTAAACAAGAAGGAAAAATAGGTGGCGTGAGAAAGCAGTCTGGGGGTGCAAGCAGGAACGATCTGCTGAGCTGCAGATTTGGAGAACTGACAAGACTTTGCAGAGGCAGATTTTTCAATACTCTACCGTGTAACTACCCAAAAAGTCCAGTGTAATGAAGCCAGGCAATGGCTTATAATTAAGTTTCTTTCTGGGTGACTGAGAAGTTTTAACAAAATATGGCATAGAATCTACATACACATCCTGTGAGTATTCTTGCAACAGACCCATGAGAAACCTCTCCTATATTAGAAAGGAGAAAGAAACATAAACTCCCATACAGAACACCTTCAAATGTACTATTAAATGATTACCAGAATGACTAGTAGGACTTAAAAGTTCATTAGACCTATGAACCAAATCTTCTCCCCTGCAATCTATCAGAATGGTCCACCCAAATTGCTCTTCATCATTTTAAAAATGTGTTCAAATTCAAATATGAATATGAATAGTGTTCACTGTCATCATTTTACTCACCTTACTAACACCAACTCCAGTAAACCTGGCCTCTAATAATTCCTGCCGTCGTGGGTCCAGGCTATGCAATTCTTCCATCATTTCTACTGAAAAAGAAAAAGTAGGCTGTGAAACCATAAAACTAAAATGTGAGGAACCAACTTTATTTATGACAAAACTCACAGTAATGATTTCACTGAATGGTCACATACAGATAAACCTCAAGTGAATATAGCATATAAGTGGTAAACTACAATGTGCTGCATCAAATAGTAATACATTTAAAGTTATAAAACGGCTCAGAAGTCCTCTTCAATGAGGGCCACTTATTCTTCCCTAGTTCTGATTTAACAGCAAAAAAAAAAAAAAA